TAAATAGCTACTTAAGATCTATTTATTTTGCTACTTAATAGTATTGTAAGAAATATGGCACTAAAAATTCAAAAACTTAAAGCAAACATATAGTTTTACAATAGCTATTTAATAGCTATTTGGAACAAAGTTCGCCACAACTTTCTATGAATAGGAATTAAATAGCTATTTAAGTTCTATTTATTTTCCTATTTAACAACTATTTTAACAATACTCGTTAATAGCTCCAAAACTAAAAGCAAACATAGTTTAAAAATAGCTATTTTATGGCTATTTTGAACCAAAGTTTGCCACAACTTTCTATGAATAGGAATTAAATAGCTATTTAAGATCTATTTCTTTTGCTATTTAATAAATGTGTTAATTAAGAGATATGGCTCCAAAAAAGATAAGAAAAAATAGTTTAAAAATATTTTAACTGACTCGTCTGTCATCAATAGGAATTAAATAGCTATTTAAAAGCTATTTTATAGTGAGATTCCGTCAATTACTCTTTCAAATAGGATTAGAATACCTATTTCAAAGCTATTTTTTTGAAAAATATAAGTAACCTATATTTTAAATAGAGTGTAAATAGTTATATACTATTTTATGAAATTTGATAAATACTAATAAAATAGTCATATTTTTGAAAAATACGGAAAAAATAGGACAAATAGAGAAAAAATAGGTATAAAATAGGTTATAAATATCTTGGATTCTACAAGGGATAATATATAATATGTGTATAATTTTTATATTCTTTGGAAATGTTCTAACAAATTCATAATAACCTTTTAGACCTCTTTACTGTTACTGCACTGTTACTGCATTGTTGAAAATGGCAAATAAATGGTGTTAATTAAAATATTGCTGCCAGCCATGAATAGGCCGGCTAATTAATGGAGCATCATTCTTAAATTTAAAAAGGCATTTGCAAATCGCGATATATCGCTTAAAATGCTATGTCTATATAGAGTGCATGAGAGGAAATTCTTATAATAGTGACAAAGAACTTTGCCAAATTACAAAAACACAGCTTCACACCAGATCATGCGGTATAACATTTTCTTCATATTATCAGTTCTGTCGATTCAAAACATTATTAATAAAATCTATAAAAGCTTTATAAATATTGATAATATGAACGAATACAACATCGATTTATAACTCTAAACATAATAAAGCGGATTACGGAAATATAGGAAATATAATTAACCAATTACAGTATAAAAGACCGCAGAAATATGCTAATTAAGTGGAATTAATGGTAAGAATATCTTTATCTCGCAGAGCAAATCTTGGTATAAAAATTTCTGCGCCAACATGTATAGCAAGGCTAAATAGCATTTAAAAGTTTGTCGATAGGTCTGGAATTTCTACGTTTACCTTTGCTATATATATATTCTTAATAGTTTTTCTCAAACGGGCACTAAGCAGTCTCGTAAATCGCATTAATCTGATGTGGCACTTGAAGTTGAACCTTCGCGCGTTCAAGCAGTGATCTGAAAGGTTGCATTGTCCGTACCGTATACATTAAAGGGCGCAGACGACGCGGGACTGGGGACATAGGGAGCATGCAGGTACCCTCACTTTTTGTGTGAAGAGAAAATGTACCATTTTTATGGAATAAAAGTGCACTTTTTCCAGCAAGGAGGAATTATAAATGCCCCTTTAAACTAAGAAGACTAATGACTACTGCCCTGTCTTATTGTTATGCACGCATATACCAGTGCAGAACTGATGAACTGGACTTAAATTTGGTAATTGCTAAAAACTTTGTTACCAAAAACATCATAGAGTTAGATTTTTGGAAATTTGAATGAAATTACATTAATTAATAAAAAATATTAAATAAATTTGTTTAATGTGTTCATGTTCAGTTTAGGACGCAGAGCTATTAGAGAATACATGCAACATCCGAAGCTGTATATTGGATGCTTCCAAAGCTCTGGACCTTCTAAGGTCACATCTAACATATTTACAATATTTGCTGGCTCAATTGCCCTTTCTTGTCTGTGCCCTCTAGCCCACTTTCGAGGTGCTTCCGCGGCCTCTGAAAGGACGGATGCATTCCTCAAGCTGCGAATTGTTCATGATCGATAAAACATGTTGCCGTTGTTTTATGCTTTAACTCTTTCATGAAATATTCCTAACACAGTATTATACTAGGAGCAAAAAAAGGAGAATTTAGATATTTGCCAATGCGAATTTAGATATTTTGCCAATTAGAAAACACGAAAACTTGAAAACGAGCCAAATCGATCAGAAACCCAACAGAGCGATCAAAAAGGTCAATCACATGGCTGATATCTAACTGCAGATCGACTTACGCAGAAGAACGCTATTCCGAGACGTTATTGAAGCCTTTCCAGCTGTATGAAACTTGCTAACTAAACCACAATTTGAATTTGATTTATCTACAGTATCCGCACAATGTTTACATTATATACTCGCGCAATCGGTCTGACTAGGCCTAGCTCTAGGTTCGCCCAGGGTCTAGGCCTGGTCATAATCAAAAGAAGAGTGTCCTGAAGGGGTGATCCTTATTCTAATTTCCCAGCCCAAATTTTGACTGAATCCCATTGTCCCAGAGCACAAATCGCATCATTTCAGTAGCTGTCCTAATTAATCCCATTCCCATTTTCTGTTGTTTTTTGCTGATGAATCCCAGTCCCAGTGCATGAAATCCCATTTTCCCACCCAAAAATAAGCAAATCCCAGTTCCCATTTTACCCCTTCAGGACCCTCAAAGAAAACGGATCGAATGATTTCTGTTTGATGATTTAATTAAAATCTCTGTGTATATAAGTTTGTTTGATATTTTGCTGGTTCAGGCAGGTTGGCCTTTATTATTACTAGCACTAGTTTGTCACAGCCATAAACATCGTGCTCGCTGAAGCAATGATTATTGTTAGAAATAAGTCCTGCAATTTCCCTGAAATTATTATTATTTCTAACACTTTCTTACAATCAAGTTATATATATAATAATCCTTGTTAAATAGAAAATAATAAAACACTTTTAGAATGCAGAAGAATCGAGGCATTATTCATAATGGTTTTAAAGCTTCAAAAATTAAACCTATATATAGCTACTTATAGTACCTATATACGCGACAAAATTGATAAGCTTCACTGCTTGCATAAGGATGCAAGACATTGCTATTGATTGAACTTCAAGAATCTACCACATCTACTTATAACGGTTTGTAAAATAAAATTTAATTTACATATCAACTTCTATAGCTTATCTTGTTGGTCCCCTGATGATTTCATGTCTTAGATAAATTTAGAGAAGTAGGTAATATTTCTAGGGAAGATGCACGCAAAAGTAAGAAAAAGTGCAAGGAAGGATATTGTTGTTTAGTTAATAGTGAGCTTAAAGGAGCAGTGCCACCGTGTGCGCATCTCTTCTGCGCATAACAAAACTTGAAAACGTCGGCTGACGTTTTCAAGTTTATGATTCAAGATGGCGGCCATTTGGGAGTGAGCGCATTGTAATAGAGGCAAAAATTTCGGCACATAGATGTAAATACACGGCTGATGAAACTCACAAAATACTGGAATAGGCAGCACAAAAGCTTATACCGATTCCTGTATATATTTGAGGCAAAATTCATGATAAATCGGGACGAAAATGGAGGCTTGATAAAGTTCACGAAGCGATATCAATTTCGCTGTCCATTTACTGTGGTTGAAATATCTTTGTGGTTGAAAAGAGGTAAAATAATTGAATTCATAACTAAGCTAAATCAATTTAGAAATATATAGCGTAGGTGTAGCGATTTCAGGCATTTGTAGTATTAACAACATGAGCGAAAGACTTAGCTAGAGCGTCAGACAAATCATATAGTCCGGGAAAAATAACTTTGCTGCAATCTGGCAGTGCTGAAGATAACTGAGTGCATCTAGCTATGAATATAAACGGCAAGGAAAATCCCAAAATGATAAATGTAGAACAAGTCATTAATATTCTTCGAACTGACATGAAGACTGACCAAAAATATAGTTTAGTATTAGGAAATGTTCATACATTGTATAAATTCTTACTCTGTATATTGGACAATGCCACATGTTGCATGGCATGCATTTATGTTATATGGCTTACTTTACCAAACGTTGGGAATGAAGAGTCGAATTGATACCCTTTATCTTTACTCACTTTAAACACTACCCGTACCTCCCTTTTCAATTTTGTGGCTATTTGGTTTGGTCTCAGTAGACCCGGCATGATTAAAAGTACTAACCAGAACACTAACATTGAAAAGGGAGTAGTGGTGATATTACTAATATGTACATATGTGATAAAATACCCTGAAGAATATTGCCTACAAATACCCACCAATTCATTATTTTCCATCCTTAACCTTCTGACTGTTAGGTAAAAGCAAGGTCAGATGACATGGAACATATAACCCAGGGAGACAATGGTTCAAGCTCTACTATTTACTCAACTATTGCTCACTCACAACTAACAACTACAGAAGAAATTGGGAATTATAGAAGAACAGTCTAACAGACATTATGTATAATGATGTCACAAAATGTCTGCAAGGAATGCTGGTCTTAGTAGTCATTGCCCAGGAAAATGTCGATAGTGGATAAATTGTTTAATTTTTCTGGGCGATGAGTACTAAGACCAGCATTTCTCAACAGGCATCAAGCCTTGTGACATCATTATGCAGAAGGTCTATTGCAAAAGAATAACTGGACGTCTTGCAGTACAATGTCTCTGATAGTAATTACCACACAATAAATCAACCACTGAGAAACATCAACTTTATTTAGTCTATATTACAGTACAACCAAGTAAAATATTCCCAAACACTTTATTTTATCTATATTTAAAAAATACATGATAATTTATTGTACAAACACATGTTGAATATAAAATTAATTGTGTATTTAATAGTTATTGCAATAAATAAACCTTTATGCACCTATCAATGTTAACCACCAGAGAGGGGGGGGGGGTTCGGGCATATGTGGGGTATTTGATCATCAATTGCATCCCCACCTGGGGATTTCGATTACCATTTTGGCCCCAAGTTGGGGAAATTTGAACCGATTATGACTTATTAATATAGTATTTATTGCAAAATGGTGGGGTATTTGACCAATATTTATTGCCCGACGGTGGGGCATTTGATTGAAAATTTGCTCAAAAAATCAAATGCCCCACCTATGTCCACCCTCCCTCTGGGGCTTAACATTGATAGGTGCATTAGTTGTATGAGGACAGCCTCACCTAGTTCACTTGCCCAATGACCATGTTGAGTGAACGGTATTAGGTTGCTTTCTGCAATATCCTTGTGCCTTCCTAGTCATCGGGTAATACAGATATTATTTAGGGCAATATCCAAATGGGCCGGCCTTTTCAAATTCTGGACGTCAGCACTTATGGCACTCTGACATCTCATCACCTGGTCCTTGCATGATATTTTCTGGTAACCAAATCATTCCACCTTGCTTTTGCCATGGAAGTGTAAACAATAACAAAACAAGTGAGTATTACTATATGTGGGTGAGCCTCGGTTAAACACTTTGCCTAGATAGTCAGTAATAATATCAAGGCTAAACGATCAATAAACAATAATATATTAAGGTGCATGAAACTTGTCATTGTAAAGCAAGCTAGCTTGGATATCCCACACTGGCTTGCTTCCCTGTTACACTCCCTATTAACAACATAACTTGTGGAATGGAATGGCCAATATGTAATTATTAATACAATCATAATTATGAAAATTTCCTAATATTAGATTGTATATTTCTGGTTGGTCTTCATATAAATTCAAAGAATATTCATACATGTTTCGTTCAACATTTATCATTTTGTGCCTGTCTTTGCTGTTTCTATATATAAACATAGATGTATTCTATATTGATAAGAAGAGCACTGCCTGATTGCAGTAAAGTTTATAGTTCGACTACAATTTGTCTGAGGCTCTATTAAGTCATTCGCTGGTGTTGCTATGAATGCATGAAATCGCTATTGACGCTACACCTATGCTATATATTTTCAAATTGATTTAGAAGCTTTATAGATTCAATTATTTACCTCTTACGATATTTCAACCACAGTAAATGGACAGCGAAATTGATATCGCTTCGTGAACTTTATCAAGCCTCCATTTTCGTCCCGATTTATCATGATTTTTGCCTCAAATATATACAGGAATCGGTATAAGCTTTTGTGCTGCCTATTCCAGTATTTTGTGAGTTTCATCAGCCGTGTATTTACATCTATGTGCCGAAATTTTTGCCTCTATTGCAATGCGCTCACTCCCAAATGGCCGCCATCTTGAATCATAAACTTGAAAACGTCAGCCGACGTTTTCAAGTTTTGTTATGCGCAGAAGAGATGCGCACACGGTGGCACTGCTCCTTTAAACTCTAAAACCTTAAACCTTAAACTCTAAGCGCGCAAAGCGTAATGGGAGCACAATTTAAGCAGTTTAGAAAGCATATATATGGAGCCCATTTCTCAGAGACATGGTAAACATCTCCCTGCGAAAACATTTCACTCGCAAACAACTGCAATATACAAATACTAAGTTTGAAATTTGAGCTCCCATTATGCTTTGCACGCTTAGAGTTTAAGGTTTAGAGTTTGCAAAGGACAACCTTTTTTGAATTAGCTGTATATATAAATATATATATAAATATATAAATAAATATATAAATAAATATATAAATAAATATATAAATAAATATATAAATAAATATATATATATATATATATATATATATATATATATATATATATATATATATATATATATATATTGTTCAAAAACTCATTAATAATTCATGAACCAATTATCCAATCTTGAGTAAGAAATTAGTCACGTGCATACGTCTTTATACCAGCTAAAGAACACTTTAACAAAAGACCATTGTTATGCAAACTATATAAAGATTTTTATATAAAGATTTGACTTATTATGCATACGTTTTTGAAGCCATTTAAAAAACTCGCAGATCGTGTTTTATTAGGTCTAAAGCCACTCGCGCTGCGCGCTCGTGGCTTTAAACCTAATAAAACACTCCTGCTCGTTTTTTAAATAGTACGTAAACAGTTTTCTCTCAGTTTTAGCCTGCACGACTGCACCTCTTTTTTTCTTATAGTCTGCACGACTGCACCTCTTGCTTTGAGTATATATTTTACTATTTCTTAACTATTCAGTTTAACTTTAACCTCCAAAAATTGTAAACCATCGACGTATATTTCAACCTCCATCGGTTGCAAAGTCTGTTTTCAATTAATTCAAAAGTCTTCAAATAAAACAGACGTTATACGTGTTATATTTTGTTTTAAAATTAATTAAAAAAAAAACATTTAGTTAAACGTTTCCACAAATAGAAAAGAAGTTCAACATATTTTGTTTCGCTCAGTAACATACAAGAGCATGACAACTTCACTGTTCATCATGCAGTAAAAAATATAATTCAAATGTTTTTCTGAAATATCAAATTAACAATACAAAACTATGAATAAAAAAACTACCAAAATATACTTAATATACTTTTACTTAACTCAGTAAAATGAATAACATTTAACTATATATAAACATTGGACTTTGTTTATATGTCACAAATTAATTTTCAAGAAAGCTTATACATTCAAAAATTTACCGCAGAAAAAATAAGATATTTTATTATATAAACATACGTGTTATATAGAGTTTTTGGCCACTGAGAAAAATCGTATTTAAACACACGTAAAAAATACGATATTTTTACGTGTGAAAATATCATTTGTTGTAAAACGCATTGCCACGGACGTTCAATTTCAACACTCGAAATTATAAATCTGGTATTTCCGCGCACCCATGTAATTTATCCTCTATATATAGTTCATTACAGAAAAGACTTTAAAATAGCTTACTTCGATACAACTGCAGTTTTGATGCTCTGGAAGCCATTGTTTCCGTGACAGGATTAGTGTTGAAACTGTTACTGTGTTAGCTGTTCTGCCCGCATAACCAGATTACAATGCTTATATATAATAAAATATGAACAGGATCTTATCTATTAATTAAACGAAGATAAAACTCCCATGCAAGCAACTTCAAGTAAATTGCGGTTAAGGTAAACAAAAGATAACAACATTATTATCTATTAGTCGTATGAAACCGTTTTTCAACAAATATATATGTGAAGTCCAACGATCAACATAATATCAATTTTGCTTTGCCCAAGAAAAGTCATATATGAATGCGCGTTTCTGTGGGGTCATGCACCACAAACTTTTCCCTGAACTATTGTAAAAGCCTATATTCTTTTCATATTACTTTCTAGCTATTAGGGATTCAATTTGAAAGGTCTTCGAGAAAGTTGAACTTCCTTTTAGATGACTTTGGCAATGACCATGCATATGCATATAATGAAAATTTGCATTTGCCCAAATTTACATGACTGAGGCAGCGTTTACACTGTACCGTTTTCGTAGCGTTCTCGTATTGTTCGAGAGAACTAGACTATTGTCTTGCGTTCCCTTGAGGATTAAGAACAATACGAGAACGCTACGAAAACGGTACAGTGTAAACGCTGCCTATATGTGTAAGATAAGAAATGCATGTATATGCATGGGTCAAATGGAGCGTTCATTACTATATATATAGTTATGTAAAAGCAAAAATTATGTAACATGGAACTAGACTCAACAAGTAATATATAGGCCTAGTATGCATGGTGTTGCGTCATAAAACACATGAACGAGTGGGTTTAAAATTTGCCACTTGCCCGCGAGCTCTTGCCACTGTTTAACTACATATATGTAAAAGAAATATAACGTGTAAACAGCCCTTTCGTCTACATCCTTATCTAAATAATATGCATAAATAATTTAACAAGGAAATTCTTTATCCCGTTTACAAATTATTTTTTCACATGTTGTAGTATATGTTAACTGTGTGGATGGTGGTTAAATAGACGTTTTTTAAAGTATATTATATATATATATATATATATATAGTTATGTAACAGGAAAAATTATGTAACATGGAACTAGACTCAACTCAACTAGACTCAACTAGAGCTAACTATATTCTTAGTCGATAAAAATTATGTTTTTTAAAAAAATCCCGAGTCAAAAGAATTGCGTGAATATTAAATATACATGGTGTTTCTTACAAATCAAAACTATAGGTACTATATGTATACACTGCAAATTCAAAAGAGTCAAAACGACCCCCAAAAGAGTGTATTTATGCAATATCAACTGGATATCAACTCAATGCTGCAACATAATTATATTATATTACAGGATTCGAGATAATAATTTCCATATACACAATATTGAAGTTTTTTTTGTCGAAAGGTAAATATTACGGTTTATTATCATTTCTTTTCACCTATCATTATACAGAAATGACAGACAATTTTTTTACAGAAATGACATACAATTTTTCATGAAGTTTTAAATATACGTTTGAGCACAGTATATATATTGCATAAGGGGCCATTCACAAAGGATGTCCGAGCCAAGGGGGGGGAGGGGGGTTTGGAAAATCAGGACAAACTCGGACATAGGGGGGGAGGGGGGTTTTTAGCAATCGGATGTCCGAAATTTAAAAAAATTCAAAAACAAATTTCTTTTTCGCTCTATTTTGAGCAGTCCTTCCCATTGTGAAATTGGCATTTTGACTATGCGGTTAACACTAGATTTTGTTTTAATTAGTAATTTATATGTTTTTGTGTTCACATTTACAGTTATAAAAAAGTTCTAAAAGTAAAAAAAGTTTTTTACTCTTGAAATATACAAGGTTGCGTGAGTTTTTGCGAGGCATGGCGGATGTCCGGGGGGAGGGGGGGGTCACTAATTCGGACAATGCCGGACAAGGGGGGGAGGGGGGTCTGAAAATCCATCATTTGGCCGGACATCCTTTGTGAATGGCCCCTAATAGCTATTTCTCATGCACTCAATTTATAAAGACTAAAGTTTTAAAATGGTAAATACTCGAGTTTGGCTTACATAATATAGCATGCCATCACAATTAATCTTATTTTTTAGATAAACCATTAGAGAATAATTTATTATGGGAACTGCTCGCAGTTTAAGAGGGTAAAGAGGAAGAAATTGTCTGCATGCCGCATATTATATATACCTATTAACTTTTTAGGATCTCGTACCATTACAAATATATCTCATGCCTATTTTGGGTCTCATGCCATTACAATTAATATTATACATTTAGAAAATAGAGGAAGAGATTGTCTAACAGATTATTTTTGTTGTCATAAAAATTATATAACTTTTTTTCACTTAACGATCGAGAACAAGAAAATACAATTTACTCTTAAATATTCATTTTGCCTTTTGGCCAATAATCTATAGATCATATATTCAATGCGCAAAAATTACTTCTTAATGGATGAAAGTCGTTTCCTGTTAAATTGTCATGCATGTTTTTTTGCATTGAAGCTTGACGATTTTATCGCGTATATGTTTACGTTTCAAACGTTACATGTTTGAGCCACTGACTTGAGCGCAAACGTGCCAGGTTTGGTAATGGAAGTTACGTTGTTTACATAAAATTGTCACGTTTGTGGAAAAATACAGGCACGTTTTGATCACGCGCGCACGCCAGGTTTTAAGCAATTTTCCGAATGTTACACTCGTAAAATTCAAGTTATTTTGCAAGATAGAATGAAAGATAATAATTATGATGTAAAGATTGTCCATGCATGCCCACACATTTCATTTTCTCATGTCTATACTGTAAACAAGACGGGGAATTTTTATAAATGCAAATTAAAAAAAATTGTTCCCCTCTTGCCGATCACGCTCCCCAAAGTTTAGAATTATAGTAACTTTGGCGGGCGAAAATGAATAAATTAGCGGACTAACATACATTTTATCGGGTGTTTTTTTTTACTTTTCATCGACAAAATGACTGTTAAAATAAAAAAGAGAAGAGATAACAATTTTCCAAAATAAAATAAGCTAGAATCCATTCCCGAAAACATCAACACAATTCCTGTTGATTGTTGACTGTGTTGTGGCAGAACCTTTTTAATAAAACACAGTGCGAGTTTATTTAATATATTTAACAAACAAAGCTATAGCTTTTGTTTTTATAGTTTTTTAATCTTCCTTTTGTGTTTTGAGAACGGTTTAGGTTTTTCTTGCTTATATAAACCGAGTTTGTAGTTAAGACAACGAAATAAAAGGCAGCGCGAAGGCGGCATTGTATATCTGTTTGCCGTCTATTTTGTTATCATGCATCTCTGCTGTCAGTAATCGCCCTGTAAAATTATTATAAAGTATTAAATAGCTAGGCAATTCCAGCTTTTAATTTATGCGTGCAGGGGGGATGAGAAGTAAGGTATCATATTGCTGATTATGCTGAAAAAAAATAAAAATGGCGTCCGTGTAAACACGAAGTGATATAGCTTATACTTGTAAATATTGAAATATTTCGGTTGTTTCGGCAGTTTTTATTGAAAATTTTCAGCATAATCAGCAATATGATACCCTGCTTCCCGTCACCCCCTGCGTGCATAAATTAAAAGCTAGAATTGCCTATACAGTTGATGTTCTTGGGCATAAATGTGTTTTTGGCCCGACTTAGACTCATTTACATCAGCTCTATATTGCTATATTATGGCCTTTTTAAATTAATAAAGAAATTTTCAGAATTTTCGAATTTTAATAAGGCATTTTCTAGATTGAATAAAGCATGCGTTCGTCTAGCAATGCTGTTTCACCAACTTGTCATCAGGATGTGTTTGTATACAGCTTGTTCCCAGCTTGTTGGCAATTTGCTACAATGTTGTGGACTCCAACCCAATGCTCCAACCACGGTTAATAGACAATTAACCGTGCTCCAACAGACTCGTTACAAGTTGCTCCAGCAACATGTTTTCGTGCAACGACTTGTTGACAAGTTGTGAGGTTTTTGCGTGTGTGTATAGTCTATAGTCTATAGACAAGTCTATTTTGTAGATTACACAATTTTTGATCTGTTATCTGCTTTTCAGATTTTTTAGCTCTACATATGAGAGCAACACAAGCAAACCGCTAAATATCTTCTTGCCAGAAGTTTTGTTTTCCATTTCGCCTCGTATATGATAAGAATCATTTTACGATACAGTTTTAACATAAATAGTCCTTTTTAGGCATTGGCCATTCAACGAATGAAAAAAGTTTATTAGTCAGCGGGAAAACAGACTAATGAAATATAGGCATGCGCCAGATATTGTTTTGCTGGATACCGGACAGTAAATGATAACGGCCGCGGATACTAGATAATAACCGGATACCAAGGTTACAAATGGTGGTAATTGCCGTTTGCCGTTACAAATGGGGAGGGCTGCGACTATTCACTATACCATTTGGCAAAAAAATAAACACCTAAAAACTTGCTTTCCCACGATACCAGAATGTATGTTTTGTTATATAAAATAATACATATAATTTATTTGCAATGAAATATTTAAGAGAAATCCTTATCGCAAACAAGATACAATCCGCGCCACACCACAGGCCGTCGAGATATTATAAGCCCACTCCGCAAACATGGCGATACAGCCGACTCCGTGAGCTTAACTAAGCTGTAGACATTACATGCGATAGATTACGACTGCGGTTTCACGGTAAAGGCTATTTCAGATCCAAACTCGAACGGTCTGAGCCAGCGTAGGAAGTGACAATAACACCAGAAAGCCGCAGATTGACAGGGATTCGACTACCTGAAAAATACCCTACGTCGGGAAGTTAGCTATACTAGCGAGCTTAGGCATGTAGGACGGCAACGCGGCCAAAACAAATTCCTTCAAATAAATGGTATAGTAAAGAAAACTTGTCGTATATTATAATTCGTATGAATTTA